GTTGCTCTGGTGGCTCAGGATCTCACGCAGGATCTCACATCCAGCACGTTTCTCCGGCGCCAGGTCGAGCACCAAGCGCAGCACGAAGCTCATACCCACAGTGTGCTGCACATGCTGCTTCGAGCGCAATCCGTTCGTACCGAAGCGAGCACCAACCACGTAGTCCATCTCGCCTAGGTCATCCCTGCGAGCCAGCTCCTTCTCGCCGTATTTGGTGAGCGCGGCCGACACGACCAGCAGTTCTAGTAGCCCCGGTTGGGTTTCCTGGATCTCCTGGATACACGCAAGCGTCTTCGGATTTACGGCGCCGGCAAGCCACTGATCCACCTGCTCGCGTTTAGTGTTGGCCTTGCTGTTGATCACACGCGCCGTCGGTTCTTCATTGGCAATAAAGAAGTTGTGGAACTTCTGGAAGCGCTCGAAGTCTGTCTTCCGGATCTGGCGAGCTTGTTGAACGCTCGCTGGAGTCACGTCGGTGAGTGCGATCATCTTACCGAAGTTCTTGTTTGCAGCCTTGTTGACGTTTGCATTGGCATTCTGAGCGACGTTCGGGTTTTTATTGGTAGATTTAGTACCGGCCGGGTTCACAGGTGCGTTGGCTGTCGACGTGATAGTCGCATTCTTGCTACCGTTGGCGTTGTTTGCCTTCTGTCGTGAAGCAGATTTCGTCATTCTCGGTGTGTTCTGGGAGCGCGGAGATCTGGAATGCTGGGTGGGGATGCTGGTTGGATTGCTGGCAAATTGCGAAGTGGAGAAGTTGGAGATCAGGATTCAACACCTTCAAATGGCTTTCTCCGTACGACCCGACCAGAGCAGCGCTATTGCTACTTCCTTGGTGGGGTTCCCCGCTGCGCTCTGAATCTTAAACCGAGATATTTAAGATAAACGCTAATTCCACGGCGCAAAACATGCCGTAGTGGTTCTCCAACTGACCTTTGGAAGCAAAAAGTTAACGTATCATATCTCGCGATTCACGTGCCTCATTTAGACGCCAGTTTGTTGGAGACGGTTTTGTATGAAATAGTTAACGCAGCACGCATCTCTGGAGCTACGTAGTTTGGGTAAATGTAGTGTGTCGCTGGTTGTGTATGTGGTGTGTGTCATAATGTGGTCTGAAAGGTGCTTGTGGTTTCAGGCAACTTTTTTTTAAAACCAAATAATCTGTATGAGGCTGTCCATATAGCTCATCAAGCTGTCCTCCCAAGATATCCATTCGTTTGTAGTGACAACCATGTTGACACACCAACTTCTGACGACAACTTACAGGATGGTGATCGTAAACGATTTATCGCACTGTCGTTGGTACGCATTCTTGAGCCTGTGTGTATCACACTGCGAGACGTCAGCACTGTGTGTTTGATTCGAATGTCATTTCCCAATTTACGCTCCAGCGCCTAAGACCCTCTCCAGCCAGCAGACCCATGCGTCTATCTTTCGTTTTCGTAGCGATTGTGGCTACACTCCTCGTTACCAGCGAAGCCCTTGCCGACTCCAATTATGCCGACCGTCGTCTGCTGAGGACCCACTACACGACATCCGCTGAATCCGAAGAAAGAGGTATCAAGGACATCCCTCTTGAGCGCCTGAACTCGTTGGGTAAAAAACTTGGAATTGACGTCCAGAGAGCTACGACCGATGCCGTTTACTTTAGGCGTATAAGCCCGGAAGTGATGAAGAAATACCAAAAGAAACTGAACAAGTTAATTCAGATCTACAGGTCGACGCCGGAGTAGGAATGAGGTGCCGAAAACTAGGCCGACCTATCGGCGACAAGAGTGTGAAGTCCAGAACAAGCTTCATGTGAATTCGTTTCAATGGAAGATAATGCCTCGTTTCTTCTAGTGTAAACAAGACGTCCTGTTGATACCTTTTTCGATTGTCGCTTTTGGTCTTGTTCATTGAAACTACAGTAGTAACTTGTTGTCGCTTTCTATCCTGTAGAAAAACGCACGCCTCTGGGAGTACGGAAGGGTTCATGCAAACTGGTATACTAAGGCTGGAGATACAAAAAAAAGAACGTTATTGGCATCAATTGATTGCAATTAAAGCACTAAACTTCGAGATCAACAATGTCGTTGACAGGGTCGACGGCGCTTTACGTGTTCTTCTCTGTATTTTTCCAAATGAAGAATATTGCTACTCATAAATCAGAGTCTATTGAACGCCGGCATTTTCTGTGGATAGAGGTTTCGGATGTACCAAACTCCTTTTGTTGAATAGCTGTACAAGAGGTTGCTGCTTGTCTTCGAAGCAGATCACCAATATACAGAATAAGCACGCAATGGGCGGCGCAGTACACACGTGAACACATACAGGTAGTGTGACTTATGAATTATAACAATTACTTTCGGTATTTACATAATCTTCTCTTTTAATTGTATTTTTTTAGTTTCTTTCTCATACTGATGGAAGGGTAATGTGGCCTATTCAGTTAACCGCCAACCCAACCCACTCTAAAACTATCTAAACGAAAACACTACAGCTCAAAACTCTCAACCGGAGTCCGACCTGACTACGGCACCACTGAAGGATTTTTGGAGTCCAATTTTTTTATTCAACGTTTGTAGAAATAATCAGATTAGTGTCTCGCTTCTTTTTCGGCACAAGAATAGACAACAATAATTTAGCCCTTTATGACAAATTCAGGCGCCATACCCAGCCAACACAGCATTGCATATGCGACTCAACTATTGAGCGGAATTTAGTTTGAAGATGAAACAAAGTAACTGCATGAGTTTTATCAAACGGTTGTTGAAATCTATCGAAATCTGACCGATACCCTTTAAAATCCGAAATTTTGTTTGGGCAATCTTGTTCTAACGTGTAACCACGAGAAGTGAATTTGAGGTCTGTCGCAAATTTCCTCTAGGCCGTTTGTAGGCGCGTTGCAGCGCTTTTTTGTTGCAATTGTAATTATGGCTACACAGGACAGACTCAACAATTTAGTGTCATCGTCCAAGTGATCCCGTTGGTGGTGGGCCACTACAGCGATATCTAGCGCATGAGGTGGCATCTAGAGTTTGACGTGAGAGGTAATTATTCATTCGCTTGCTCTCGTGTTCAGACAGAAAAATACATGCGGTTGATACTAGTGACTTCCGGGTGGCTCTTTAGCAGGC